ATCAAATGCTGGTTTTGCTCTTAATTTTCTTTCTAAACATTGTTGCAAAGCTAAGGTTCTTATTTTAAAAACTATGATTTTATGAATATGATGCTTGCAAAGGCTTGCTTGAGGCAGGCTAAGACCATTTTTCATGACCTAATCTTGCCGTCAGGCCTTCGTTCTAAGAAGTTGGGCGGACTAATAAGGAAGTTGCGACTAAGAACTGTTTTTAAAGGAACCCTGACACTTTCCTCGGTTATGCCTACTTTTAGAGAGAAATATGACCCATTATCGAAATATTGTGGTCTGCCTTATGTTGGAGAGGCCTTTCGACATATCCGCCAAAGTTGAATAAGAATTATTTATTCTTAATTTAAAGATTAAAGGAGCAGGAAGGTATTGAGTCGCCATACAAAAAAAGGCGACTCAACTTGTCGGATGAATAATGGTTGCAAATAAATTCACATTAGTTCAACCGGCATGTTAAACTCAGCAACCAAAACAGGCGTACGAGATCACGTTATAACCTAAAAGCTTTTTCTTGGGTCATTAAACCTTAATGATATCAGACTAATGGATTCTGACTAGTGGTTTTGTAGACTGAATTTCACGCATACAAGCTAACATATCATCAATTCAACTAGAGTTACTTACGGACTTACGCAATCTCACCTATGCTTATCCATTGGGTCGTTAAGCTGAAGTTAGGCTCTTTACTCTACATCCATCTATATCTAAATGTTTTTTCGTCATCAGCATTTATAGCATATAGAACAGAGCCGGTCAGTCTTCTTATCTTAGTGCAAACTTGAGACTTTTGCAAGAATGTGCCCCAGCTCTGATGACGTTGTTCGCATAACAAACAGAAGCGTAGCCCGTTCATCAGAAACTGGCGAAGATGTCTCGTGGACCGCGTCTACCTGAATGTCGTATTAAAGCGACGGGAATGAGCAATCATCTTCTGGTGAGATCGACCTACGAATCTATTCACCATAATACCGTTCATTTATAGTCCAATTGAAAAACTTGTTGAAATTGGAATCTTTTGAAAGCATAGCTTAGCCTCTTTTTGCTTCTTTGTGGATCATTTGACAGTCAATATGTAAAGAATTCTCGTCAAATGCGCCTATTTGAAAAAGAGCTAAAAGTTGCTGCGATGGGGTGTGTTTTACTAGGCTCATTCTTGTATGCTGGTTATTGGCACCATCGAAATGAGTTTCAGCGTCTGTTTAATAAGTCTGCTTATTAACATTTGAGAGACCTTAAAATACTTAGGATCATAAAATGGTTGTAGTTGATTTTTGCACAATGTAATGATTAGAAAACCTCACAATACATTTAAATGTGATTCACGAGGCTTTAGGCTTTTTTCAATTCACATTTTAAGTGAGATTTCTGTCAGCAAGACAAACTCAGCTTTGTCATCGCAATTGATCATACTACTTTCTACCAAATGAATAGGCTTCAGGGCCGTTAAGAGATATGTTTGCTAGAACTCTAACTTTATTAAATAGGCCAAATATTTTCGTAACACTAGGCACACTTTATTCCGCCGATAGCATGGTTGCGCTGTGAAAACAGGATGAATCCATCTCCGTAAAGTACCTATTTCTTCCATGTCTGCTTAATACCCATTTGGTCACTCTCCCGGCCCTTTCGGTAAGCCAGTTTTAAGGCAAAAGGGTCATATTTTAAGCGCAACATTGGCTCGCGACCTGTAAAAATATCATCAATGCATACAATACAACTCACCTACCCAGCTATGGTAACGGGAGAAAGTGCTGGCTAGGTCTGACTTGGGGTAAAGTACTTGTAGTAGTTTGCATTCTAAAAAGCAGTAAAGAAAACACCCTCCAACAGATCGGAAAGTAATAAGATTTCTGGAAATTTTAACGTGTCCCCGGACAAAAAGTAGAGTACAAAATAATGTTTGGCTATAATGAGCTAAAAAAACGTGGTTCACAGAAGGACGGGCTATTCCGGTGTTAAGTGGGGCTGAGTAATACGCCTACATTGAACCAAGCCTTAGCTGCCCTGTTCTGAGTTTGATGACAGAGGTAGTCTGTCTACGGTAGATTTCAGGCCGGAAGCTGTTTTGTCACTACTATATCATACTCTTATATTGATCGTTCTATAAATCGATTGCAGCTTGGGCCAGAGAAACCTAAACGTGAGTTTATGTTCATCTCGCGCCAAACCGGCCTGCGGGAGTATGCAGATTCAGATGTCCTCTTTCTGTTCGGCCCCGTCTGCAGAGCTATGCGGCCTGACCAGACTGGTGTCCGACATGTGATGAAGCATCACCGTATATTTCCTCTTCATCCTTCGTCAGCCTTTTGCCCCCCTTGCCGCACCGCTTCCGTTTGCCTCTCCTTCACAGAGTAAAACCGATAGTTTGGTCGTACCACGACCAACCCTTGATTTCTTCTTTTGGCTGCCGATCGCCTCAGGAACGGATGGACGCAAAGGGTTAATAACACCAAAGGGAGGATATCACCTACACGAGTCTGTTGGCACTGCCTTTAAAGAGAATAGGCGCAGAGAATCGAGGAGAAGTGGGGATAGGAGAGAGCTTGAGGGCAGGAAGACTAAAAGGGAGTGGATAGTCATGGATGCGGGGAAAAAATCATAATTGAGAGTAAATTCGAAAAAATATGGCAAAATGTCATATGAGAATGTGAAACCGTGCTCATTTGCTAATATTCACCCGGTTATGAAACTTCTGTGGTGGAAAAAACAGGAAGGACAAGGCTTTGCGCAGGTCGCCAGGGTCGAAAACGCCTCACGCAAAATGAAGCGATGGCTCTAGCTTCAGTTTTACGCGGAAACTCGTCTACTCGAAGCTAAAGCCAGCATCATCGCAATCTCTGGTGCTCGCATGATCCTGTGCCCACGTATTGGCCCATCGATAAGCTCCATTGGTACAGTCAAAGAGATGTTTTAATCTTATATTGACTATCTTTTTCTCTGTCCTATCTTCTAACTTGTTTATACTGTTGTGATTCTTTCAAACGTTGAGAAAGATTTCGTAAAGGGTTGCCGCTCCACGACATCAGAGGCAGGTCACCTCTGAGGAGAGCGACTTTGTTTGGATATATTCGTGGAGATTTGTCTTATGAGTGCCGGCCAAGATAGCCTTTATCATAATTATTATTCTTTAATTAATACAAATAGTACCATTATATATGTATATATATATATATATATAATTAATAATTTATTTATTTATTTATTTATATGAATTTATTTCTATCAGTACTCTTTTCTGAAATGTTAGGCATAATAATTAATTTAAACTTCACCTCGTTGCCTCACAAGCAACAATTGAGAGATTTGAATCATGAACTAGCGAGCCAAGAGGCGAAGAGCAACAGGCCCCTAAGCCACGTGAACCTAACCACACTGTGCTGCTCGATAAACATGACCTATGAGGCCCTCAGTGACTGTGAAGCATAAGTAATACCGATGCTAAACTGATGAGTATATCGTTTTGGATATAAAGATTATGGTTACCTTTTGGTACAAAATTGCCCACAAAAAGAAGCTTGCTGGAAGCGAGACTTACTTAGTTTTAAAGGCCATAGTTGTGTAATATTTGATTAATTCTGCGTGGCTTGGAGGGTGACGTGCTAGGCCCTTAACCTGCGGATCCAAGGTTTTTGTCTCGCTAATGGTACTTGTGAGATGCTGATACGAGATTGAAACTGTAGTCCGGTCATGAGGAGAGGTTTATTTTGGAAGATCAACGCTAAAATCAAGCCTTCTCGTGGGCAGAGTAAATTTCAGTCCAGATACAAAATCAGTCAATTCTGATGTACTTACACAAAAATACGGCTGTTGATAACTGTGAAACAAGACTAGTAAAATTATATCGTTTTGGCCAGCGTCCACCTATTTGCCAATCTATCATCCAGAAAGCGAGCCAGCAACTAGATGACCAAATTTCACTAATTAACAGAAGATAAACTACCGAATTTTCAAAATAAAAATCTTTATTTTTTGAACAAATTAACCTGAATTTTCTATCTCTCAATACAGCCAACTG